CTCTCTGTGGCACCGACGCGCTCGCTCGCCGCGCGCGCTTTAACATCTCGTTCCAAACTATTGTGCAGCCTCCCACGTCGGAGCGTGCGATCGAACCGAAGCGGCCCGCCGACGACTTCTAGAGGCACGGCGCCCTGCAATTACCTGCTCGTGCCCCTGGCTGACGGAAGGGACTCCCGCATGAGCAGGAGCTCTCTCTGTATATCTCTCTTTGTTGGAGACTGTTTGACCTACCCCTTCCAGCCTGCCCAAATACCTTTGTAGAGGTGGGGGTACCCACACTTTGCCCCACCACATGGCGGTTCATCCATTTATACTGCTGGCTGCTGGGTGACCTTGGGCCGATGGGGAGGTGGGGGAGTTTTGCGAAACTTTGCAGACCGAAACGCCAACCTCTGGTCAGCAAGTCCAATGCCCTGCTACGCCACGGCACCGTCCCATTGCGTGAATCATCCAAATTAAAATTGTCGACCGTAGCAGGCGCAACAACGCTTATCCACAAGACACCTTTTTTGGGGGTTTTTACCTGCCCATTATTACGAGTTGCCTTGCCAACTTGCAACAACCTACCCATCAATCACCGACTCTAGCGTCGATCTCCCCCTTCTGGGTATCCGCGCTGCTGCTACTGCTGCTGCTCTCGCCGCCCTAGATTCTCGGCGCGGATCCGGAAGAACGCCCGGCCCGCGAACCCAGTGGAACAACGCGGACGTCCGGAATGAGCACCTCAGTCGAGGCGCGAACATCACCGCACCGCGCCCCGCTTCGACGTTCCTCCTCCTCCTGCAAGGCACACCGGTGGTGGATCCATCGAGTGCATGAGAAGGCCGATGAGCACACGTCCTGCATGAATGGGAAAAATCAAAGACACAAGCAGCAACAGTCGTGCGATTTGTGGCCATGCAGCCCAAAACTCTGGGCCGCTCAGTAACACCCACTGTGGTCGGCGCTCCTTCAACGGAAGAGGACCAAAATCAAAACGACACGAACTCTCACCTGCAGCCCACTCGCCGTGACCAGCGGCAGACCTCGACATTGGCCATTTAGCTCCCCGAACAATTCGTCGCCGCCGCCATCGTGCACGAGAAACAGAACTGCCAGCTGCGCGACTGTGCAGACTCGTCGACAAGGACGCCAGATTGTTTTCACGGCTTTGCGATCGGCATTTCGAGGCACTTTTGGAGAGGTTTTTCAAGCTGGAATGACGTCGTTTTTTGTTTGTTTGTTTGTCAGCGGTTCCGCGATGCGTCGCGGTTAAAAGTTGTAGGCGGTCGACGGTTGGCCTCACCACTCCAGAGGGCGGGGGCGCGGACCTTTTCACCAGCAGTGGAATCGGCAGGCAATTTCAAGGGCTGCACCTTTACCAAATTTTTGTGGGAGGTGTGTAAGCCGTCGATCGGTTGGCGGCGGTGTTGGCGTGAACGGCGGGGGGGGGGGGTGTAGGAGTTGGGGAGGAGGCGAGGCTTAAGCACTTTGTAGTCCATCATGGGGAGTTGTTTTAAAGGCTGGCGGTAATGCCAGTTTTACGCAGCCGATTATTACCGAGAGCGTCACTCACAGCGCGGAGGAAGCCATCCCACCGTGCAATCTCTGTTTTTATTGTTCGCTCCGTCAGCGGCTGTCAGCCGCGGAGGCGGCCGCGCGGGGAGAAAACACGCGCGGATGAAGAGGGCCGTGTTTTGAGCCGCGCTGGCGTCAGTAATTTTCCTGTCGGGGGGCGCTAATTGCTCGTCCTGGCGATGAGATAACGAGAGGCTGCACAAAATCTGCTCGGTTTTTTTTTTCTCGAGAAGGGGGGGGGGGGGGCGGGTGGTGGTGGTGGTGCAGTTTACTCCTGCCCCCCCCCCCACAACCATCCCCCAAACCCCTTCCTGCCCGCATCTAATCCACCACTCATCCCCCCCTCCATCTGCCAGCGGTTATTTTTTGTTAAAGTTGTAAGGCTCTGGCTTCTCCCTCCCTCCCTCCCCTCCTACTCCCACTCGTGGGACGATGGGAAGACCTGGCTGTACTGAGGACTGTGAGAGCAGACCGGGAAGATCCGGTGTCGACTCTGCAACTGCCGCTGCAGAATCGGTCGGATGGAAGGAAGCGATGGCACGGCGTTGTTCCGTCTCGCTGGTATCGTCGTCAGGCCCGTCGTTGCTGACGACGCAGGAACGCTTCGCTCCGGGACTCTTAGTCAGGAGGGTCCTGCCGAGTTGTTTCGCAGTCGGGAGAGGATGGCACCGTTGGCTACGTTACGGCGCGAGCTCGACATACATCCACACAGACGGATGATTGCTACGGAGATTCCAATTTAGTGAATTGCGGTGAAACACTTTTCAAATTTGGCGAAGCGTTCAGATGTTATCGAGCGTCATGGGAACTCCCTTGCCAGTATCAACATATAAGAGTTGGCTTTACTCTTTCTGACAAGATGTTAAAACACCAAACTGAAACCTTTTGCAAGGAATCGTGTCTGCATTAACAACATATACTTGTGGTGAACATGCAAACACAAAAACACATGCTCTGGTAGTCTATGCTGTGTCTTTGAAACTGATTGGTCCAACATTGCCAGAAAGGGTACAACTTATGCTTATAGGTATTCAGCGTGATAACGTTCAACTTGATCTGAAGTCAAATGCTCTCGATCGCCGCAACAACAAAAAATCAACTCTCTCCTTTTTCCTCCCACCATCCTTCCCCCAATTGGATTGCGTCCGTGCTCTCTGTTGTCACGCCCCGAGATGAGGAATCCATTCGGAGCTCTCGCGCAGCAGTACGTGTGCGTCATCGGAACAGGGATTTAAATTAAACGACTCTGTCGGTAGCGAGGCTCCCTCGGAAGGCCGTGCGGCACATTTCGGCGTCGGCTATTGCAGAGCGCGGTCGTGTCGCTACGGTTCTCTGCGGTGAATGCGATTCGTCGGTCGACGGGACCCACCCTGCAACTTTTGCAGTCATCTCGGAACGGGAAAGGGTTAAGGGAACGACCCGCGGAAACGGATATTGCAGAACGCCCTCCCGAGGTCACTTCAGGTGGCCTCTCTAACCCAGACGCTAGAGGGCGCTACATTTTTTAGATGACTTGGAGAGTGCACAAGATGTGCAACTTTTTTATATGGTGGCGGGTGGTTGCGACGGTGGATTTGCCGCCTACGATTAAGCCGGGTTCTCAAATGTGGTGAGTCGATGGACGACCGTACCGTATATGGCATCACAATCATTCGCTTTTTTTTATGCATCGGTCGGCAGAATTCCAGGTCTAAGAATTTCAATATTCAGCTTACGACGTGCGACAGATATCTCTCCAGAAGGGTATAGAGTGATGCTGCCCCCTCCCACCACAATGTGTGGCCAGGAGGTCACTTCCACAATCTCACAAATAGTTCTGTGATGTCCGCTTTCTCGGGCCAGAATTCCGAACGGACGCTTTGTTGGCGCGTGGTTGCAGCCGTCGGTAACCGGCGTTCCGTTTTGTGACTGCGACGACACCGAAAGACGAGGTTTGAATGAAATTGAGAAGTTGATCAAAAGTTGACGACAAAAATTGAGCGCACTCTGCTTCACCCGGGTTAATGCGAGCACGGTATGATTGGCGATTAGGAACAACGCCGTGAGTTGATGTTATTCTGTCGGGGCCAGGTATCGCTTGCGTCACCGTCTTGCATAAGAAATTAACGGTGCCTCCTTAATATTGCGTGGGCGGGCGGGATGTTAATCAGGTGCCAAATTTAGCCGAGGCGCTCCACGTCCCGTAAGTAAGCAAAGCAAATGTCACGAATCCAGCCAAAATTGCAAAGGAAAAAACTTAAAAGTATTTATATGCAAAAAATGAGATGTTCGTGTCGCAGGCCCGTGACGACGCGACGCGTTGTAACCGTTCTAATTGCTTCGCGAGCCGCCCCTCTGTGCCCACTCGGTCCACCCACGCACATCACAACCGTTCCACACACGCGCGCAGGCAATACACGCACGCATGCACAGCACACGCACAACACGCAAACGCACACACGCGCGCGGCCGCGTGGGCCCTCCCGATGGAACTTGCCGCTGTAATTGCTAACGCGGTTGCTGCTGTTAGGACAATTGTCTGACGCGGCTATTGTCGCCGCTAATTTCATTTTGGTTTCTGGCCGCGTCCGTTAAAAATAACGCGCGGCCAAATTTCGATTGAAAGCTTTCGTGACTGCAGGGATTCATCTTCTTGGTTCGTTCGGTAAAGTCACGTAGAAGGGAAGTAATAAAATAATAAAAATAAAACATAATAAAATAAATCTCACGACGTTTCGGCCACAACGCAAGCAGCCGTCCTCAGGTGAAGAACAGGTCTGTCGGAAATACAGCGTCTGAATGAACAAGACCTGAATGAACAAGACCTGGTCTTCACCTGAGGACGGCTGCTTGCGTTGTGGCCGAAACGTCGTGAGAATTGTATTTTATTATGTTTTATTTTTATTATTTTATTATTTCCCTTCTACGTGACTTTACCGAAAGAACCAAGAAGATGAAACGCGCGCCCGTTTCTGCCGCCGAACGCAAGCGAGGCGCCCGCCTCGGCCACCGTTTGCCGGCGGAGGGCACTGCCGCTGACCCCGTTTGCCTCTCCTTGTGCCCCGCCGGCGGAGAAAAACAACAAAACGTGCTCCATGGACGTCGGTCGGTGAGGTCATCAATGCGGTGATCGGTGTGCAGATCCGCGACCGCCGCATTGATGAGGTTCACGTTTCGGCCCGTTAACAATCCACGATGATGATGATGATGATCAGGATGTTACGAATGATAATGATGATTCTATTCATGATGATGACAATGTTGATGATGGTAACGATGCTAATCATGACATAGATGATGATGACGACGACGATGATGTTACTCATCAAAGATGACGATGCGACGAATGGCCATGACGAAGACGTTGATCGTTGATGATGATTACGATACTGATGACGATGTTACTAATGAAGATGACAGTTGACGATGTTGACATTCACGACTATCGGTTGTGTTGCCAGGCATCTACGAGACCCCTGCCGGCACCGTGCTTCTCGCCGCCCACTTGGACATCGAGGCCTTCACCATGGACCGCGAGCTCCGCAAGATCAAGGAAGGCCTCGCCCTCAACTTCTCCGAGCAAGTCTACAACGGTATGACGCATCGCCAGCGGCTGCCCTGCGGACGGACTGATCCCTCGCCATAGGATCGTGCCATTTCTCCCACTGCCTCGGCCCGGAGGTGGTGAGATGTTAACTACCTCGCCTGGTATACAGAAGGTCGTGGGTTCGATCCCGACCCTGACACCTGGAGTTTGTGTGTCTCTCTCCCCGTGGTCGCTGTGGATGTTTCCCTGGGTGCCTCCGGTTTTTCCCACCACATTTAGAATCAACGTCGTGCGTTTAGATTTTTTTGGCTTCTATAAATGTCCACGTGATGATGATGGTAAGCCACTTCGTTGTGCTAAAATTCGTGGTCAGGTCGCTACTGAAATAGAGCTACATAGCTGAGTGGACCTTGCTTGGTAAAACAGTTTTTTGAGTATAGTTCAAGAGAGCCACTGAACGTTTGCATGAATCGTGGTGGTACCTCGATGTTTAAGACCTTTTATCTGAAGCCTCCGTCAGTTCGGCCACTTCAGCCGCGATAGGGGCACACCTTCTGTACGCACTGCACAGTGTGTTCTTTGCGTGTCGAACGCACAGCAGAGTATTCTTTCTGTTTTCCCTTTTCCCGCCAACTCAATCGGCCAGTGGCGATGTTGACGCCACGTCACCGGTAATCCACTCGGGCAGCGCATAAACCGGCGTCGGAGAATGACGGCCCGCTGAAGTGGATACGACAGAGCTACGTCTGAGAATGCTTCGAGTAACCTCTGCTCCACATGGTGGTGGGGAGGGAGGGGAGGGAGGGGAGGGGGCAGCACTTTCCCACCCGCCCCCGCCACGGAGAGCGATGTCCGTCGCTCGATGGTCAAACTGATAGTTTTTTACTCTCATAGGCTGGAATTTGGCCAAATTAAGCTGGAAGGGCCGAATTTAATGTGTTGTTTTTGTGCAGTCATCGGTGATCGGTGCCGAGACAAAGGCTGTTGTTGCTCTCGCTAAAGAAAACCCGGTGGAAGATAAGGGAGATGATCAGGAAAGGAATTTGAAAGCCAGAGGAGGAGAGGAGGGGGGGGAAGAAAAAAAAACCTGCGCCGAGAAATGCGCGTGTGCCGAGCTGTGGCCTTTGTTGCTTGGAGCCGAGCGGGCCGAGGGTGGGAGGCAGTGGGGGGCAGTGGGGGGGGGGGGAAATTGGGGGGGGGGGGCTGTGGTCAAAAGATCATAATCATCATTGTAGGAACAACGAGTCGGTCTGTCCACGCCAGAGGTCTTGCAGCTCTACGGAAAATAAACCCTGGCCTCTTTGTAGTATCCACAGCTGTGCCCTCTTTGCCACGGTTTACTGGGCTGCAGTGCCCCCCCCACCCACCCACCCACCCTCCTCCCCCCGCCCCTCCGTGCCCCTCCCCTGCCATTCATTCCCAGCCCGTAATGAATCTTTGAGATGAGACTCTGCCAAGGCTCCTCCTTGTGCTCAATGGGAATGAACACTTTGACGCGAAGTTTTATTTTGTTTAACCAGAGGTGAGAAGTAGTAATGGGTTTTCTTTTTACCCTTTTATCTGAGAATTCAAGAGGAGTCTTCGTCCATTGGGAGGGGGGGTAATGCTGCGGTGTTTCATCCCAATTCGCAAAATTGTAATTTTGTTTGTATTTATAATGTGATGGCGGTCATGATGATGATGATAATGTGGATGGATTGTGACGATACTAATGATGAGTGATTATTATTTTTAATTTTGATTATCATCGTAACGCTGATGATGACTGATGATGATTTATTAATGATTATGATGGTTATTGATGACAAATGTTTCCTGATCATTTTGGTAATCATTTCATTATAGTCATCGGACGATTATGATGATGATTATTATTGACGATCATCATCATTTGCAGATCATCATCATCATCGTAGTAATATTCATTGTTTCAACTCCCCCCCCCCCCGACTCCCCCCCCCCCCGACTCCCTCTGCCACCAAAAGGCGCCGAGTGCCGATGGCAGCGATTTGACGGCGGTTCACAATAACCAACAAGAAGGGAACGCGTGGAGGGGGGGGGAGAGGGCTCCTTTGTGAAACCCACTGCCGCATTAGCGCTCCGTGCTTATTCATCAGGGTTAATGTGACGTTGATTTGGGGTTAAGGGCAGGCTTGAGGTTGGAGGAGGGAGGGAGGGGAGGGGAGAGAGGGAGGGGAGGGGAGTGGAGGGAGGGAGGGGAGTGGAAGGAGAGAAGGAATGGAGGGAGTGGAGGGAGGGGAGTGGAGGGAGGGGAGTGGAAGGAGCGAGGGAGGGGTGAGAGGAAAGGATTGAAGTGAGGGAGTGGAGGGAGGACTGGTGCTCCTCTCACATTGCAGCCCTGAGACAGTAGAAATTCCACATTGCTGTGATGGGGCCGAGTCTCTCCATAAGAAAACCTGTTTTGACATCCCCACAACTTGGTACCTACTCACTTTATCGACCCCGGAGGGACGGATGATGGGCTGAATCAAGCCTCCCCCCTCAAAACCAGGATTTGAACTTGCGACCTTGTGATTGCGAGCCGCTTTCTCTCCCGCTGAAGCACCTGGAGTGCCCATCCGATGGAGACATTTTAAAGGAGCGGGGGGTGGGGGGGCAAACTCCTCCGTTATATATTCATCAATTGCAGTGCGTGCAGCCTTAAAACAAAAAAATGCGTTTTCACAGGCGACGTTTCGGGTAATGGCCCTTCTTCAGAGCTCATCGGTGAAGGGGTAACGTCCTCTGCTGGCTGGAAAGCTCACCGGAGGAGCTTGGCGTCACGTGACCGGCTCAAAGTTTGAAAGAAAAAAAAATCAGCACGGGGCGTTGTTTACGCGAGCGGTCGACGATGAATTTGTGAGGATGAGATCCGGGGGCGAGCGGCGAGGCCTGGTCGGGTAAGAGTGGATTGAGAGCGAGTTGCGAGCTGGGCGAGCCGGTGAGTTATTGAATTTGAGAGTTGAGTAAACGAGCTTACGAATGGTTGTAATTTTTTGGGTGGGTCGGTGAGTGAGCGGGATGAGTGAGTGAGTAAATGTCGTAATGAATTGGTTTTACGTTGAGTGAGTGAGTGGATAATTGAGTGGGCGGGCGGGTGAGTGAGTGAGATGCTGACAGAATGAATGAATTGGTGCATGAACAGATTAGACAAACGCTCATCGAACGAACGGCCAAGTGCACGGGTTAGACACCGATTGAATTAATTACCGAGGAGTAAGTGAACGATTAAGTGAATGAGTGAGATGCTTGATTGAATGGTCGGTTTAGGGTGATAGCGATTGAGCGATCGAGCGAGCGATTGATTGAACGAGCGCAAAAACCGCTCACCCGTTCATTCACACACGGGCGACTTCACACTGCAGCCATACCACCCTGGGCTCTCACAGGTCCAGCGCCTCTCCCTCACTTCCCCTCCTGCCCCCACCAACCACCCCCGGCCCACCACTCCCCCCCACTGCTCCCTCACTGCCAACATAAGGGACTTAGAGATGTGAGTGGGGATAAGGGAGCTTTCGTGTGCTCAGGGGACCTCGGTTGTGGAGGAGGGGGCCGGGCGGCGTCGATCGGGGGGCGGGGGGGGGGCATGTCAGGGGATGGGAAATGCCCTCGGGATAATGCCCACACACCTGTACGTCTCCCCTGCCTCTCTGCCTCTCTGCCTGGCTACCCCCCCGCCCACCCGCCCACCCGCCCGTCCCCCTTCGCCCCAAGGCTCTGGGGCTGCCCGCACGACTGAAATCTACAAATTTTGGAATCTCTGCCTCACTTGATACAGTAAATCTGGCTGTGACGGTCCCACCTGATGACGGAGACTTGTGTTGCCTCCGAAACGTCGTGATTTATGATTTTGTTCAATTTCTATTACTTTTATTAATTTTAATTTTATTTTTTTACTTACGTGACTTTACAGAAAAAACCTAAGAGTATGAATCCTTGCAGTCACGAAAGCTTCAAATCTAGAATGAAATCTACAGCCTCGGTCATGACGGCCGTGCGTCAGTCGGCCGTGGCTCGCGGTTCGAATCCGTCAGGCAGCCCTGGTTATTGCTGTACTGCGGCATTAACCGTAGAACTCGACGTGCCACCTGCTTCGCAGTCAGTGTGAAAAGATTGGGGCGCCACGGTAACGAGATGTTCACTACCTCGCCTGGTACACAGGAGGTCGTGGGTTCTAATCCTGAAACCGGACGCCTGCTGTATATTCGCAGTTTGCATGTCTCTCTCCCCCTGGTCACGTGGATTTTTCTCCGGGCCCTCCGGTTTTCCTCTCCAAATTTAGAATCAACACGTATTTAGAGTATTTTGCTGTGATACATTTTCCACTTGATAAGCCACTTTGTTGAGCTATCATTTGTTGCCAGGTCCCTTCTGAAAAACATCCATATCGCCCAGTGGGCCTTACCTGGTAAAATACAAAAATAGTTTGTAGCTTTTAGTTTTATTTGCTGACGTCACTGTAAATAGTTGACCATCGTGTGCCGGGCGTCACGGTACGAATGTGTTTTTTTTTTCCTTCAAAATTTGAAAAATTACACCGCAAATTATTGTCTGGGATTACACACGGAAAATGTGGATTACATTGGCATTATGCACATCAAATTTAGGATTACATTGTGATTACACACCAATTGGGATTACATATGGATTCACACACAGTAATTAGGATTACATTGGGATTACATCGAAATTACATTGAGATTACACACATAAATTGGGATTACATTGGGATTACATTGTGATATATACACATCAATTGTGATTACATTGGTATTACATTGGGATTATACACCAATTGGGATTGCGTTGGGATATACACACAACAATTTGGATTACATTGGGACTACACACAGCAATCGGGATTACATTGGGATTACATACAGCGATTGCGATTACATTAGGATTATATTTGGATTACACACAGCAAGGTTGCCCCCTGCTGTGAAACAACCGGCTGTGCTCACTGTCTAGCACAGCAGCGGCTTCCTGTAATGATTGGCGCAGATTCCAAACTTCTAATTAGTGTTTGGCGAAAGTCACGGGGAT